AGTACCAGTTGTTGGGAAATAAACGAGTAACAAGTAATTTCCCTATAGCCAGATTAGTGAGAATACGAAATAAAAGCGGAAAAATAATACCCGAAAAATTGATAACGGAGTTCAGCCAATTGTGCTTACGTCTCCGGACTGCTGCAGATCTTTTACTAAAGAGAAAAAATTACAGGTGTTTACAAAACACACTTGAGAGAGAACTGGAAGATTTTGGGATGATTTTGAAGCTAATTGGGCTAGGGTATTTATAGTTAAAGCTTAAGGACTAATCTTGTAAATACCCTAAAGTGTGCAATAGCTAAATATGTAATTAACCCTATTACAATTTAATTAAAAATTGGCGGTGCCCCTTTTGTTGAAAATTATCAGCTTGTGCACTGTGCCTCCCTCATTTTTCCATTTTCGGTGGCCTCTCTTGGCCTACCTCTTGACTTTACACCTGTCTCGGACAATATGTCTCAAACGAACTTCCCACTCTCTTCCTAGCAATTCACGTATCATCCAATTAATTACACTTCCCACTGGATCTTGCTCATGTCTTGTTGCCGATTCAACCAGCCATAGCACAATCCGATTCAACATCAACCTTTCGAAACCTCCGCCTCCAAGCCATAATTATGCGTTTAGTACAGAACACGCTCCTATGCTTCTGGAAAATCCAATAATCCATTTCCCATCGGCTCATCTAATTACCCCACTTGCGGTGGCCATTTTCGACAAACCATCAAGAGCTCCATCGGCATTCCCTTTGACCCATCTATTTTCGTTTATAATAAGGATATAATGTTAATACATATTTGACATCAATTAAATTAAAAAATACATAAAAAAATTATTGTTGTAAATAAGAGCACATAAGAGTGTTGTTCAAACAAAGAGATGTGTTTAATGGTATTTAAGGCCCTCAAACTTTTGAGAAAAAACTATTGTAATCCTTGAATATTTTTTACACTTAATATAACCCTTAAATTGAGAGAAAAAATCAATCTAACCCTTCGACTAACCGAATCAAACATTGATCATCATGATGTTTACATGTCAATTCACAAAGTTTACATGACACACAATATTAACATGATAATTCAAAATCATGGTGTGGTAGTACATGATGGATGATGATGTGGTAGATGAACTTAATTAATTTTTCTGTTAAGTTTGAGGACATAGTTGATTATTTTATAAAGTTTAAATACTTTTTTTTAAATTAAAAAAAATATTTAAATTTAAAATGTAAAATATAAACAATTATTAAGATATTTAATGCATTAAATATAAAAATATTAAAAATTAAATTATCAAAAATATTATTTTAAGTACCAAATTGAGTGTAAAAAAAGTTTAGGGACCATATTGATTTTTTGCAAAAATTTAGATACCATTAAATCAAAAATTATTATTAAAATAATTTAAATCAATGCAAGTTAAGTTGAAATTTTAGATTTTGTGTTTTCTTACTTCTTTTTTTTATTTTCAAAACAACATTGATGAGAATATTGAAAAAAAATTATGTTTTCATATTTTAACTTATTTTTATTTTCATTTTTCGGAAATCATTTTTTAATCTTACAACCAAACATGTTTTATTCAACGGGTTTCATTTTCTTAGGAAATAAAAATAAAAATAACTTATATTTTCTAAAATCAAACGAATACTTAATCCCCTTAGACTATGTAGATAGGATTAACACAAACTAAATTATTTCAGTGGTTAAAGAAATAATTTTTATTTTTAAATATTACAGATTTAAGCACCAATGATTGCAACAGGATAATTGAGTATTCACTGTCAAATGATTTAGAATATTAAGAACAGATTCTACTTTGTAATCACTTTAATTTAATAAAAAAATAAAATTAAGTAAAAAATATTAATAATTCAATCCTTATATAAAATAAAGATTGAGAAAATTAAAAAAATAAAATAAATTTATAATATTTTTTTTTCTTTTTATACGAGGGAAGAGGAGAAGAAAAAGATTACAGCATGGGTTTGATTTTACATGAAATAACAGTGTAAATACAAAGACTAATGCTCAAAACTCATTATTCTTTTAATTAAATTAGAATAAATATATGACAATATTTATTTAAAAATAATTCTCAATATTTGATATTAAATGATCACGTTCTTAATATATAAGATGCTCGGATTTAAAATTTTTTAAAAACAACAATAATTTATTTACTATCAAAGTCGTTTGGTTCATGTATGAAATTCATTAATCTAAAACTTGAAAAGAGAAAAGTGTTAATTGCATTATATGTCCCTAAACTATAATCTTTATTTTAAACTGATCCTTAAACTTTAGAATATTCTAATTAAATCCTCAAACTATGACTCTCACTCTAAATTAATCCTTAAACTTTTAGACATTCTAATTTCAACCCTAAACTATGACCATCTTTCTAAATTAGTACCCTAAACTTTTGAATATTCCTATTTCATATCAAATTTATCCAAATATGTCTAAAGATAATTTTCAATCATTTTAACATTAAATACTCAACACTCTTAACACTCATAATATTTAAACCCAAAACTCTAAAGAATAACAATAATTTATTTAGCATAGCTTTGAAACTCATTACTCTAAGACCTTTGGAAAAGAAAATGAAAAGAGTTGTTTTTTGTTTGAAAAAAAAAGAACTCAAGTGTTCTCAAAGCAACTATTGCAAAGGAGTAAGAGGAGGAAGACACGTGTGAAGATACAATGCAACAGGTGTAGCAAATGCTGCACATAAACAAGGCAGAAAGGCGACACGTGGAGTATTTGTGGTAGATATAAATAAAGAGCTCGCGAAATTGGAAGCAAGAGAGGGACGATGGCACAAAACAAGGAAGACAAAAACATGCGGCGGCACAGGCGAAGCAATCGGAGGATGAGAGTTTGAGGGTGGCGTACAAGCACGGCGCTCCCCTTGAAGCTGGAAGATAGCAGAGTCTTCTCCGGTGGACCTCTTTTCCACCGCCCAACGCCACCAGTCCCCCCTCCTCAACACCGGCCGGAGCAATCCAACACTCCCGCAAACGCTAACACCACCTCCACTACCTGATACATTTCTTTTTCCCTTCAGCTTTTGTGTGAGTTTGAGACTGTCTTTGTTGGTGAATCAAGTTTCTCTAATAACTACTAATAAGCACAATAAATGATAGTATTTTATAACTCCATTTAACTCATAGTAGAGCATCAAAAATTAATTCCAATCAAGTTACAAAGAAACAAGATAGTTGCCTGACTTGAAGTAATACCAGGGACGGACTTGAACTTTTATAATCTCAGAGGGGTGAACTTTTATAATCAGGAGGGACGAACTTGAACTTTTAGGATCAATAAAAATACCTAAAATTTAGCAAAAATATATAAGAGTTGCAAAAAATTATCAGAGGTCATTGTACCTTTAAAAAAATCAATATGACGTTTAATTTTTTAGTGTAATTTTTAAACTCAAAAAATAAATCTAATATAAATTTTAATCAATATTTATTGTCGTCGTATTATTTTGTTTCTTGGTGATATTTTAAATTCAAAAATAAATTAAAAAATAAATCCAATGTAGTCTTTTAGTCAATATTTATTGTTTTTTATTATTACAGTGTCAATGTGACACGGTACTAACTTAATGTTAGTAATGATTCACGATTTTGATGTGTCATATCAGTATTATAAGTTGTTACTTCTACATCTACGATGTTGATCTGACAGTTTATTGTGATTGATAACTGTAATAAATAATATGATAGATAACTGTAATAGATAATATGATAGATAAGTTAAATTAATAATTCAAATATAACAGATGGATTGTCAAGGTAACAGATAATATGATAGATAAGTTAAATTAACAATTTAAATATAACAGATGGATTCTGATCAAAGATCAGAATTATTTTAGAGTTTAAGTTTCATATTAAAGAAAAAAAATTACTTTTTTTATCAAAAGTTGAGGGAGTTATGACTTTTTTTAATCAATTTTATTAATAATTTTAAGGGTGCGTTTGATTCACGGAATGTAAGATTACCAGTGGGAATAAAAGATTACTAGGGAATAGGATATTAGGAATGTTGTATTTTATGTTTGGTTGGTTTAGCAGGAATGTAAGATTACCGTGTTTGGTTAAAGGAATAAAATATTATTATAATGTATATTTGATCAAATTGTCCTTATTATATATTTATTTTTTTAGTTGGAAAATATTTATATATTTTCTTTAAAAAAATAAATTCATAAAATTTATATAATTTTTTTTACAAAATTAAAAATATAAAAAAGTTTAATGAAAGGCCTGAACTTCATATAAAATTTTAATTATAGATTTTTTTTGTAAATCTAAAATAATTTAAAGATAAATTTTTAATTTAACATTCGTAGAATTTTTATTATTCAATGATAGAATAAGAATATTTTTGAAAGAAAAAAAAATTAAGGGCATTTTAGTCCAAAATGTCGGTAATCCAACAATATCTAAGGAAATAGAGGTAATGACATTCCCGGTAATATACCCAAAAAAATCTACTATTGGTAATGTAAGATTACCGGGAATGACATTCCCGACCGATCAAACAAGGAATGTAGATTTTATTCCCATGAGAATTTCACATTCCCCAACCAAACACACCCTAAAAGATACGATGATTTTATCGTCCAAATCATGTGCAGGAAAGTAAGTGTTCTCCACTTCAATAGACACAGACATGAAGCACATGGAGCCTGTTTATCTTACCGTCCAAATCAGTTTTGCATGAATTGAAGTCTACATGATATAGCAAACAACAACTTAAGTATTTTTCAATTAAGTCCCTCTTAATTTTAAAATTAAAAATTTGAGCCGCAATGTTTCTCATTTTTCAATTTAAATATTTTATATTTATTAATTCAAACTTAAATAAATTAAACATTTTTATTTAAATATTTCTTTAACTATTTATCAGTTATAAAATTTGAGCGCTTAAACTCTAACAATATGACATTTTAATTTTAATTTAATAATTTAAAAATTAAACCTTAAATATCATTTTATTATTATTTATAATTAACTTCAAGACAGCAATAGTACACGAATTGTATCTCCATCTTCGTCGTCAAGCAACAAAATATTCCCAGAGGCTCGACTCTGCGTACCCGAAACCGTCTTCGACGGCGTCTTCGCCGGTTGCAGTCGAAGGCCATGGAAATGAGCTCCAGAACTCATCAATATGGCGGTCCATACGCAGCAATAGATCCGGAAGGTCAACAAACGCATCGTCATTATCGTCATCATCGTTTATTAAAGGCGAGCTCGACGAGTGACCTCGACGACGAACCACGCGGCTGCTTTTCTCGTAGCTCGTGGCTGCCGCTATAGCAGCGGCGGCTTGGATATCCTTCGGCGACGAACTACGCGGGCGGGGAAGGCGGTGAGCCAACTCGGGGAAATTGAGATAAGCCGATTTGCCTTTGATCTTGAGCGCGGCCACATCGTGTGCCCGAGCTGCCATTTCGGCTGTCTCGAATGTTCCGAGCCAAATCCTCGACTTCTTCTTCGGTTCTCTTATTTCGGATACCCATTTCCCCCATTGACGCATCCTTACTCCCCTGTATGTTGGATGTTTCCCTCTAACCTTCCCCTTCCTCTCTATTTCAATTTCCGATGAGGAAGACGAAGATGAGTGAGTCGCTAACTCGGTAGCTAATGGCACTTCCATGGCGGACATTGCTTTGAAGTTGTTATATGAGAAAATTGTGAAGAGTGCATCGCCTGGAGGAGGAGAAGCTGAGTTAGCTTCTTATAGCTCCTTGGCCTATTATGAAGTTAGAAAATCAAAAGGTCTTTTATATATAAATTAATACTTTAATATATATAATTATACATCTCTGTATATTCTAAATTAATAAGAATAATCGATTTTTTAAAATATATAATTTTAATAAAAAATATAAAAATAACGTATATTGATCACATTAATTGAATATTCTCCCTGAAAAATAAAAATATAAATTAACTACTGAATAATAAAAATTATATAATACATGGAAAGTATTAAAAAAATTTAATAAAAAATAGCTGTAGTGATATAAGATAAAATAAATATCATTGTGGTTGGTGGTGAAAGATAAATATTATTAGTTTTAACATAAAAATAATAAAATAACAACAATCCGTTGACAATTGACTCGAATCTGATCCGAAAATTTCAAATCCTTTTATCCGATTCAAATCCGATTTGATTTTTTTAGTTAAAATTCAAATCTAATATGACCCAAACTAAAATAATATATATATATTAAAAATATTGTTTTTATTCAATAAAAATAGGGATTTAATTAAAAGAAAATAATATATAGAGGGATATTATGGTAATTATCTCTAAATATGTAAGGTAAAATTACAATTTTTTCCGGATCAAGTATTTTTCACACTAAATCGAAACTCGATCCGACCCAAACATAAATTTAAAAAAACTCGACTCGACCGAACCCAAACCCGAAATTAAAAAGAAAAATTCGAGTAGATCGGGTCGGAACCCTTCGGATTCGGATCCCATACCCATCCCTACTCAAGTACGATCTATTTTAAAATGATTATGAGTATTTATCTATATAAAAAAATATATTAAATGTACAAATCAAAAATAGATTAATAAAAAACAAATCAAAAAATTAAAATCAAATTTAACCTTAAAAATTATATAATAAAAAAATGATACATATGTGTTAAATGTATATATGAATTGTCAATGTGTATTTTCAAATCCACCCTTGCTTGTTTTAGTGTCAAGTTGATATTTAGAAGTTTGGTTGAGGGGATACTTCTGGTCCAACAATTGATTGTATTATTTTGGGAAAAACTTATCCCAAATTAAAGGGAAATTTATTTTAATTATGTTAATGAAAAAAATAATTCATAAAATATAATACATTTATGAAATTATTTGTTTGAATGAGGTATTTACTATATACGGTGACCTTCAAGCTTGAATAAGAAAGACGCCAAGATTGCAATGCGTCTCTCCCAACTCTTGATCATATAAAAATTTTGCCTATAAATGATTTGATCAATGTAAAACTCCCATGAGTCGCAGTGAGTACAATGCGACTCTAATGAGTCGAAGGTGACACAATATGACTCCAATTCTCACAATAGCATTTACCATATCCGAATAAATAATCTAAAAAAACGTCAGTATTTCAAAAAAAATTAAAAAAAATCTCACAATATTATTTGAAACCTTGACATATGTTCATCTTCTTCTTTTAAATTTAAAAAGTAAAAAAAAAATAGATTACATTAAAAATATATTTTCCCTCTTCTAAATACAATAATAAAAATATATATATAATATGAAAAGGTAAAAGTATTATTATATTAATATTTATTTTTATATAAAAATAATAACTTTTAATATTTTCTTAATTGAGTTTGTGTCAAGTTGAGTTGACTCGTGACACTAATATTTTAGTTAAGGCTTGAGGGTTTTCTTTGTTCATGTAGTATATTTAATTTTTCATTTCTGTCTGTATGGTATTTTCGCATTAATTTAACACTTGAAGTTATTTTATTGCATTAATATTTAAAATATTGATCATTTTTAGGGGTTTAAGTTAAGGCTTAGGGTTTATGATTTAAGATTTTAAGTTAGTTTTTAAGGTTTAGGATGATATAATTAAACAACTTAAATGATTCAATTGATTCGAAAATATTATAAAGGCGAAAAATAATAAATTAACTCTGCTATAGAGGTAAAAGTAACTCTTAACCCTTTAGTTAAAGATTTTACGTATAACGTAGATGATATTAATATTTTAATAACATAAAATTTTATCTAATATACAATATGGCATACATTTTATAATGTAAAAATTTGAATCTCTAGTTATATGAATGATATTTATAATTTATATTTTTAATTATAAAATCAAAATTCAAATCTCTAATCTCAATGGTGAAACTTGGTGATAGAATTTGGGGCCAATTTAAAATTTTAAAAAATTTGGAGATTTAAATTAAAATTAAAAAATTAAAGGGTTTAGTTTACATTTTTTCAAAAAATTAGGGTCTAACTATTTTTTTTGAAATTTTAATAAACTTAATAAGAATTTTTAAAATTTATGGGAAGGGATTCAAAAAAATTAATTTTTTTATGAATTTTTAAACGTTTTAGGAGGGACTAACCTAAATGTTTTAAAAATTTTAAGGTCTAAACTATAATTTTTAAAATTTTGAGAAATCATAACCCCCACTAGTTCCTCTTTAATTCCGCCTCTGTCTAATCTCGTTTAAAATATATGATATTTTCATTTATTAAATCAATCAATAATTAATAGAATCAATTTTTTTTTTATCAATTTAGGGTAAACATAAGATAATATCTTTACAAAGATAACTCTTAATCTTTATACATTGAACGCTCATACTTCTAATATATATGATGTTCGAACCCGTATTTTCAAAAAAAAAATTATTTCATCACGGAAGTCACTTGTTTCATATCAATAAAACCAATATTTATTTCCTAATAAATCCGCTGGACGAAATCGAGAGTTGGTAGCACAATGAATATGCAGAGCAATCCGGGCTAGGCTAAGAATTAGGTACCAGGATTGAATTGTCGAGGACACATACTTAAGGTAACAAATGCAAGATCTGAAACAATTATTTGATGGAATTAATGATCTATGTCGCCCTTGATGGGAAATATAACTGACCATTTAACTTTTCTAAGCTTTTTCACCCTAGATATTTTGTTCCACGCTTTTCTTATACTTTCTCAACATCATGATAACGTAGGACAGAGTCGGAATTTTAATTCATGAAGGTAAAATAAAATTAATAATAAAAATTAAAAAGAGTAAAATTAAAATAAACTAAAATTTAAAGACTTAAATAGACATTTATATGTATAAATTTTTAATAATAGAAAAATTAGGGTGGGACAGTCACCCCTAGAACTATGTGTAGTTCTATTTATGTGGAAATGTGTCATATTTTTTTTGGATGTCCCCCGGTTTTAAAGTTATGTCTTAATTAATTTGAACTGACTCATGTCGATCATCTGATTTTTGTGTGTGAGTTTATCAGCAGGGATTTTCTACATACATAAAGGTTCTAATTCGATGCTTTGTTTAAACGATATCGAACTGCTTATCACTTGAATAAATCCCTGTAAATAATTTGTCATATTTTTTTATCTTGATGGTCTTTTGAATTCTAAATTATTAGAGTTTTAATTCACACAAATATTGTGAATGGAAAAAAACAAATCTAGACTTTGTTTAAAGATATGATAACATCGAACGGCTAAGAATTGAAGTAGATAATAATCAAAGCCAATTATCCAAGAGAGCGTACATGACCAAGCAGTGAACCAGACAACCCTCTTTCGAGTGGCCAATATCTCTGTACTTCATTCGTTCATAACCAAATATACAATTTAACAGTATGGTAAGTTGATTGGTTTTTTTCTAGAGTCTTGCCACCCGAATGTGTTGCTTCAATATCGGTCGAATGTACTTGTGGTATCCATCGGGCACGACGGTTTCGTTCAAAGGATCCTTCCATGCTTCCTCGTAGAGTTTTGGATACACGTTTCCATCGTAGCGGCCGAGAACCGAGCCAAGGTAGTGGTCGGTGTAGTTGAATGCATCGACAAGTGTGATAGCATTCGGACGAACCTGAGAAAGAGAGAGAGCGATATCAAAATTTGTGAATTGCAGCAGTTTTTCAAGCAAAAGCACCATGTAACGTATATATGACTCGGGTTGACGAAACAGACCTGGGAGTACAATTGTCTCAGTTGTTCATTTGCCAGTGCACCTTGCTCTGGAGTAATGCAGCCGGTGGCGACAAAGTCGCCAAGATGTTTGTGTAATAGACTTAAAGCATACACATTGCATAGGATCTCCAACTGTCTTTTCACTCCCTTTCCGGGTATGTCTTGTTGCAGTTTCTCGATGAACCTGAAAAACAAGTTTCTTAGACAACTTTCCGGTAAACAATAGAAACGATCAAAAGATAGCCGCATCCCATTCGGCTTCTCCAGCCAATTACTCAAAAATTGCCATGAAATTCAAAATTGCAGGAACTAGAACCAATCATTTCATACAACATTACACAGAGGACAGCAATAAGAAACATTTTTAGGTACAAATTTTTTATCCAACATCCCGAGTGGATAAGACCGGAGAAGATTACTTGGAAACGACGATTAACTGACAATGAGCAACAGCAGCCTCGGCCAAATCAGCTGAGAGTTCAGCAAAACCTGAAGACAAACAAAGGGAAACACATAAGAACATCAAATTATGGATATCAACAACTTCAACATGGAGGCTACTGCACTTTCCTTTGTAGCATTAACAGAGTTTTATGATTCAAAGTACCCAAAATTTTATGGTAGGTAAAGCATGACGATCGAATAGTGGACCATGCACGAGTTAACTCGGTCGAGTAATATGTCAAGTTAAAAATGTACAGATAAAAAGGATGATAGAGTGGACATACCATCTTCTTGGTTTGGAAATTTGTTAAGGTTTTTTGCACAGGCAACAGCCATCCTAGCAGCCCTCGCTTCAAATGCCTCCACAATTACATGCGTCTTTAGCCAGTCCTCAGCTGCAAGCCAACGTATGAAATGAAATTAGTATATATGATTTGCATGAACAATAATAATTTGTCAATGGCAATGAGCACTGATTAAAATTAACATGTAAACAGGTCTATAAGTTGGCAACAGCATGTAGATGCGACTAAAAATAATCTCGAAACTTCCGTGACATGAGAACTTGAAAAGTA